CCTGCTTTGGAGCTGTGCTGAGCACAGCTTAGACTCAGCTGTGTTTTTAGTGTCATCCTCCATTTCTGTTCAGTGGCTTGCATCTCTCTTCTGTTTGCTTTGGTTCTTTTCTGTTCAATGTAAAGGTGAAGGGGTGGCTAATACTCCTGCCCTGGAGAATTACAGTGAATGAGAACATGTATTCTGCCCCTTTGCAAGCTACTTAAGACTTAGATATGGGTCCCCAGGAGGAAAACTGGATTATATTCTTGCTTGTTCCATCCTTAGAACAGAACGTAGAACAGGGTATGTATAGATGTTTGGCTCCTATTTTAATACTTCCTGGGATGTATTTAACACTGATATGTATAAGCCTTTTCTCTTCCTTTTGAAGTAGAATGCCTGTCCATGAAAGGTACTTCAAGAGAGGCTGGTAATTTGGTAATGAAAGTTCAGGCTGGGTCATGGTAAACCTCACTAGCTTTGAAGTCAATGGCTTGCATGCTGGTAACAAAATGTAACTGCAGCATAGCTGCGAGTGGTTGGGTCTGATGGTGTTCTCAGTATAAAACCAAGCTCTGGTATGAGGACACATACGATACGGATCTGTAAAAGCATGAATGGCTTGGTGTGTTGCATGTACCCTGGCTGGACGGCAAGTGCCCGCCAAAACCGCTCTATCACTCCCTGTCCTCAGATGGACAGGGGAGAGAAAAATATAACAAAAAGCTCATGGGTCTGGAAAAGGACAGGGAGATCACTCATCAGTCACTGTCACGGGCAAAACAGACTTGACTTGAGGCAAAATTAATTTAATTTATTACCAATCAAGGAGGATAATGAGAAATAAAACCAAATCTTAAAAGCACCTTCTCCCCACCCCTCCCTTCTTCTTCGGCTTAACTTCACTCCCAATTTTCTTTAACTCCTCCCCTGGAGTGGCACAGGGGGTGGGGAATGGGGATTGTGGTCAGTTCATCATACATTGTTTTCTGCTGCTCCTTCCTCCTCAGAGGGAGGACCCTTCACATTCTTCCCCTGCTCCAGAGTGGGGTCCCTCCCACAAGAGACAGTCCTCCATGAACTTCTCCAACATGAGTCCTTCCCACAGGCTGCAGTTCTTCATGAACTGCTCCAGCCTGGGTCCGTCCACGAGGTGCCGACCTTCAGGAACAGGCTGCTCCAGCCTGGGTCCCCCACGGGGTCACAAGTCCTGCCAGCACCCCTGCTCCAGCCTGGGTTCCTCTCTCTCCATGGGTACACACGTCCTGCCAGGAGCCTGCTCCAGTGTAGGCTTCCCATGGAGTCACGGCCTCCTTCAGGCAGCCACCTGCTGGGTGGGGTCCTCCCCGGGCTGCAGGTGCAGATCTGCTCCACTGTGGACCTCCATGGGCTGCAGAGGCACAGCCGGCCTCGCTGTGATCTTCACCACGGTTTGCAGGGGAATCTCTGCTCTGGTGCCTGGAGCCCCTCCTGCCCCTCCTGCTGCTCTGGCCTGGCTGTCTGCAGAGCCGTTCCTCTCACTTACTCTCACTACTCTCTCAAGCTGCCATTGTGCAGGTTTTTTGCCTCTTCTTAAATATATTATCCCAGAGGTGCTACCACCGTCGCTGATGGGCTCAGCCTTGGCCGACAGCGGATCCATCTTGGAGCTGGCCGGCATTGGCATAGGGGAAGCTTCTAGCAGCTTCTCAGAGAAGGCACCCCTGTAGCCCCTCTGCTACCAAAACCTTGCCACGCAAACCCTGACTTGGTGAGAGTGCAGTAGGGATACTACTACTAGTAGTCCCCCAGTAATACGCTGTGTCTTCTAGTGCCAGAACTAGGGAGCAGCAGATGAAACCAGCAGATGGGCAGATATTTCAAAAGGGTATCTTCACACAACAGATCACCGAAGTGGGGAATGCTTTTTCATAAGGTGTTGCAAATCTAGACAATCATATGAGTTCAGAAAGCAACTGGCCAAATTCACAGGAGATAACTATTAAATACAAAGATACTAATCTGCTCAGGATTTCTTGTGCTGTAAGTGCTGGATGATGGGAGAGCATTACTGGAGAAGTATCACTGTATGCTTGTCCCATTTTATACCCTTTCTAGGTGTCTGCTACTGGTTATTGTTGAAAAGAGGATACTGATATATAAGGGTGTTTGACGAGACCGGGTTCAGGAACCTTTTGCTCTTGTGCCTGTAGAAAGTGCACTCGTTTTGGATTACAATGTAGATTTACTATTGGAAGCATATTTTGATGCACACTGGCACTTAGGACTGCTCTTTGTGTACTATGCATTTGATAACACTCCTAGTTTGATGCTATGTATATGGTCTCAATGCAACTTTCATGAAATAATGAAAATATGAGTGATCAAGTTGTATGGTACCAGGACTGTACTCATATGTTGTGTTTATCATTGTATTGTCATATTTTGTTGTAAATGTTAAGATTCCTTTTGTTTTGCTTTGTGTGATAAATGTGTTAGATTGGCAGATAATAGATTTTTAACTGAATGACAAGCCACATCTAAACCTCCCAATCTGTGTATTGGGAGAAAAAAACAAAAGAAAAGGGTGGACACATTTCATCTCTTTGCAGTCTTTCTGAATGCAAAATGTAAAAGTCAAATTTAATGTCTAATAGTAGATTGGTAAACAGGATTATTGCCTGGATGGAGTAAATCCCCAAGTGTTCCACCCATTTTATTTTGCTGTGTAATGATTCTGAAAGCAACTCTCAGAAGGACCAATACATGCAGCATTTTCTAGTACCACTTAGAATGCACATGTATATTTGTTGTTATTTATTTACTCAGTCCCATTTTTGTTTATTCCTATTTCAGCTTTTTAATTTGCAATTCAACTTCTTTAGCTTTGAAAGCTATTGAATATTTCACTGTGCCTTAAATGATTCTGGTTTTTTAGGCAAAATGGAAGCACAGTGTGCTATAGGTGCAGCCTATATAATATTGTCTTTTTTCCAAGTTAGTCTCATGACATTGTTAAGACTCGGCACTGCATTTGGAGTCAGTGTTCTCATTTAGCCTTCCTAGCCTGTGATTAAATGGGAGTTGCTGCTTCTTGTACTATGAGTTGGCTGAAAAAAGCTAAATCTGTCACAGGTGCTACAATTTGTGTATCAGAAAATTTGCTTTCCAAATACTAATTATTCCCAAAGTATCTTACTTCACACAAAGCACAGATAACAGAGTCAGCAAATTTGTCCCAGTTTTATCATTGTGCTGTAAATTAGGGTTTGTCTTCTACCATTGTGTAAAGTGAAGATGGTAGAAATTCAAATGCAGGATAATCCATTGATTTACAACCTCTGATGTGTTTTTTCACTTAAATATTCCAGTCAAAATGTTTGAAGTGTATTTTATTCAAATAATTGTTGCTGAATTTCACTTCTGTAATTGAATGAGCTGTTGTCTAGCAACATAGAATGGTGGGAAACTAACAGTATTGTCTCTCCAGATGTTGCTAAAAATTGAAAGTGTTTTGCGCCTGAAAGCTCCAGACCTAACTGGTCATATGCTTAAACTATTAATTTGGGAAGTTAATATGATGGTAGCTTATCAGGAATTATCTTTCCGGTTTCTATGGGAGAAGAAAAGACCCTCAGTCATTGAAACTGCAGCTGAGTAAGTGAAAGCATTCACTTCATAACCTCCTGTCGTGGTTTAAACCCCAGTTGGCAACTAACACCACCCAGCCGCTTGTTCACTCCCCTCACAGTGGGATGGAGGAGAGAATCAGAAGACTAAAAGTGAGAAAACTCGTGGGTTGAGATAAAGGCAGATCAATAGGTAAAGCAAAAGCCACGCACGCAAGCAAAGCAAAACAAGGAATTCATTCACCATTCCCCATGGGCAGGCGGGTGTTCAGCCATCTCCAGGAAAGCAGGGCTCCATCACGTGTAACGGTTACTTGGGAAGACAAATGCCATAGCTCTGGATGTCCCCCTCTTCCTTCTTCTTCTCCCAGCTTTATAATGCTGAGCATGACATCATATGGTATGGAATATCCCTTTGGTCAGTTGGGGTCAGCTGTCCCAGCTGTGTCCCCTCTTGACTTCTTGTGCACCCCCAGTCGTCTTGCTGGTGGGGTGGTGTGAGAAGCAGAAAAGGCCTTGACTGTGTGTAAGCGCTGCTCAGCAACAACCAAAATATCCCTGAATCATCAACACTATTTTCAGCACAAATTCAAAACATATCCCCATACTTGCTACCATGAAGAAATTGGCTCTATCCCAGCCAAAACCGGCACACCTCCTCAGACTCTGCATCACATATGTCGTGAAAACACAGATGAAAACACATATGACACCAAAGCTGGGATTCAACTGAAAGTCAAGACATCTGCATTTCTCTAGACAAGCCAGGTATACACATATAAGCTAGGTTTACATGTTGGTACCTGTGAACAAGCACGGAGTTGGGTCCCCATCACCCCTCTTCCACTGCTCTCTGGAGAGCCTTTGTGATAAGCTGTTACAGCCCCAGTTGCCAGTATGATGTGTTTTGACATTGAAGCACCACGATCTCCCTAGATAAGAGTTTGTAGTTCAGGTAGGTTATTGCTCAGTTAAATCTTTTGTAACAAATCTAGCTGTCATCTGAGTGATCATATTTTTGACACTAGCAGAATGACCTGCTAAAATAGCAACTGGATCTGTGTTTCAGCAGCTTCTCCTTTCATTGCCAAGAATTACCTAGGAACCCCTTCTGGCATTAGACAAGTATTTTAAATATATCTACAAAATATTTAGCTTATAGAGTGACTTACACGGAAAAGAAAGAGCATTGAATGCTGTAAATGAAATTTTTAGCAACAATTTTTGCATTGTAAACTAGCTTAAGAAACTGTTTATTTGCTCCCTTAGGATGAACATATTGTGTATTTGTAGATTTCTGACAAATGCAAACATTGATGTGGTTTAAATTCTAACAGCAGTGATTCACAGCTCTACTTTTTTGGCTTGTATATAGTAATACTGACTTGAATTTTTATTTTATTTCTGTAGGACTATTTAACCATTCACAAGTATGGCAATGCAGCCAGAAATGATCTCTGGAACACATTGTCAAAGGTAACATACTTTAATCTATTACACTGAGGGAGAAGCAGGAATTCACTGTGTTATTTTTCTTGGTGAGGTCAGGAGTGAATAGTGCATATTGAGATCTTAAGACCCGAGAGCAAATATAAAAATTGATGCAAAGAAATTCCATTTGAGTTAACCCAGTGGCAACATTAAAATATGTTTTTTTCGGCATTTCTATTCTTTGTTATGTTGTGCTTGTGCTATGTCACTGATGTGCAGTAAAAGATACTTCATGGAATCTTCTGTCATTGACTTTAGTGGCAGCATGCTGAGGCCCATAAGCTGGAAAGCATATGAAAGTACTTCATTGCTTTGGCATTTACATCAGGTGTGTTTGTGATTTTGTGTGCAGTTATGATTTGTGTGAAGGACAAAACTATTAAAGCTTTAAAGTTTGTCATAAACAGATAAGTACTTACTGTAACATTTGACATGCTGTAGAGACTTACAGTTGCTATGTCCATGCTCCCTTTGGTTGCTATGCCCAAGCTCGGCCTGAGTTTCTAGAGTCCAGTCCAGGGATCTATAAGGGCAGAGTTTAATTTTCATAAAGTGAGCCAAATATGCCCGAATTTCTCGCCTACAGCGGTAGTCTGGGCACTCCACAATAAAGACAGAGTGCAAGCCAATGTAGAGTACCATCAAGGGAGTTTGGGCACAAGTACCAACTTAAGCCATGTGTAAACATGGTACTCTAGTTGTAACTATTGACACCAAAGCTGGGATTCAGCTAAAGGTCAAGACATCTGCATTTCTCTCGACAAGCAGGTAAATACATACAAGCTAGTTGTCCAAGCTCCTGTTGTTGTCAGTGAGGGCTGGACTCAGTTGCCTGTTCATAGACATCTAAAAACGTTTAGCTTAATTTATCCTGCCTGGCTTCCAGCTGCCCCATGAGGTAAGTATGTGTTGCCATACTTACCATCCAGTTCTGCAAGGATGTGTTGAATATTTTAGGACATCTTATTTGACACTTGGTGAATAGGAACAACTGGAGTCCCAGAAATCTTGTCAATACAGTTGGTAAAGCATAGAGAGCAATTCAGTCGGCTAGCCACTACACGATTGTTTTAAAATGAGCCCAAACCACTGACTGTTGACTAGGGACTTGAGGCAGTTGCTCAAATATAGGCAGCTAGTGCCAGATTAGGTGCAGTAGGGTATTCAAGACATCCAGGCAGGTCTAATCAATTTCACACAAGATCTGTGGGGAAATCTCTACCCTTCTTGAGTGGCAGGTCAAGGTCAAATGACATTAGCCACCTATGTGTAGGCAACTGAACTGAGTCCTATGTCTGTACTGACTCTAATGAAAGTTGACATGTGTAACATACAGTCAGGCTCTTAAATCTATGTCTTAATCTGAAGTTGAATGCCACTGCAAAAGTCTGTCTTGCTTCTCACCTGGTGTCTTCCTCTGTTAAAGCCTTTAGGGCAGTTCTGGGCGACGGGAGGTCAGAGGAATGAACAATCTTGAAAGATCACCAGAATCCACAGCCAATAAAATAGAACAAAAATGAGACTGTATTCTGGTCCATTACCACTATGGCTATACTGTATGCTCAAATCTATTATTAAGGCTAATAATTCTGTTTGCCTCACCTGTAAGCACATTTGTTGCCAGCTGCTTTGTTCCTAATGCATTGCAATTGCAGCTTCAGTACTGAAGACTTCTTGCTGGGTTCTGCTTGTATTTGTCAGAGGTTGCTCAGTCTGTGATCTAGGACTGTTCAACAGCGAGGGACATTTCTGCCGCTGAAGAACAGATGATGGCTGTCATTCTCCTCATACCCAGTCTCATCTCCCATGATGCCATAGTATCTCTTTTTGTTTCAGATGAAAATCCACTTGTAAAACAGCATTTTTATTGACACGGTATCAAATATGAACACATTAATCCTCCGTGTGTTATGACAGGTGCAGTTTATGAAGGAGCTGAGGATATCTTTGGCCTCACTTTGGACATGAAGGACAGTGTTTTCAAATAACTAGTAATTTGATTTTCAGAACAGAGAAGCTCTGTGCTTTTAGAAATCAGGCCCTTTTAATATGCCTTATTATAGGTGCCCTAGATCAACTAACGCTGCGTCTTTTTTAACCTCAGTTGGTCAAGAATATCTTCTGGAGACAGCCACCCAGTATTTCTGTGGCCTTTGTTAAAACCCTGTAAAGCAGGTTGTTTCTTCTGTTATGGCACAAGTGCATGATTGATGTGGGAAACATGACTTTCTGACTGTTATTCTCCTCTCTGGCAAGGCTGCTCAATGTTTATTTTTAAGATACTCAGAGACTGTCGGTTAAACTATGTAGTGTGTGTGTTCTGGGTGTTAATGTGTGTGTGTGCATGCGTGATGGTTATCTAAACCTCTCAAACTAATTATGGTCCCTGGAAAAAAAAAGAGGTTTGTGTGTTGGATGATGGTATTGCTTCAACATATTGAAACTTTTCTTTTTTCTTGAAGGCTTTAAAAAGGGTTGGAAAATCTGTAAATATCCAAGAAGTAATGGATCAGTGGACACTACAGATGGGTTATCCTGTTATCACTATCTTGGGAAATGAAACTACAGACAATGTCATAGTCATCTCCCAAGCACGTTTCGTTTATGATAGTGATGCTAAACCCAAGGATCCTGCCTTTGGAGACAACAGGTACTTGCATTTCTCAGTTAATATCTTACAAGAGGCTGTAGTTGTTTAAGTAAGTGCTTCATATGTGTATTTTTATGAAGATGGCTCTTTAGAAATCTTTGAGCTTTGCTGGTTGTCAATAGCATTTCGTGGTCCTTCCATTCAAACAGTAGTAAAGATGAGGCTTGTCGAAACAATTGAAAAAAATCATTAGAGTAATAGAACAAGATAAAACTTTCGATGTGCCCATTTGCATCCTGACAATTCTCTCTATGACTACATCTTATATCACGCATCTGTTTCTTCTCCTGTTCTTTTGATTTTGTCAGAGTCCATGAAGTAATATAGAATGTGGTTGGAAAGTCTGATACTTGTTTCTGTAATTCTTTGGAGTGGACCCCTCCATGCTCATACCTCGAATAGGCAGATGTAACTGTGTGTCAGGCATATACCTCGCTTGACTTGGGAAGCAGTCATGAGCTGAACTGGACCTCTCTACAAGGCAGGGAGTTCCAGCTGTTCCAATTTTGAAGCCAGCTGAACTGGTCCTATGGGGACTGTTACATGGGCTGAAATCAGCAGGCACACATCTTTGCCCCTACCCTTTTCCCACTTATTTTTCCTTCCTGCTCCCAGCTGACTCCACACGCTTCTTTCATCGCAGAGAGAAGCTGACATTCCCGGCTGATGCTGGGGAATCCTCATCTTAGTGTTTCAAGCAGTTTTGGCATCATATTTTAAGGCCAATGGTATAGAGCTGATGCTAAAGAATTACAATTTAGCCTTAGAAGCTTTTGTGTTCAACTCTTTCATGCTCAGTGGGAAAGAGGGCATGCTGTCAACCTTGAGTACTCTGTGCTTGTCCAATAGATTTAATTCATTAAAAGGTAAAATTTAATACTAAATTTTGCTTGATATGTCTGGAACTTACAGAATATTCTTGTTGAGGAAGGCCTAAAAATATAATTACATTTATTGGGAAATGTTTAGAAGTTCATTATCCTTTTTTAGAACATGAATATTATGGAACTCAAACATGACACAGAGTAAATTGTTGTTTTTCTGGCTGTATTGGAGCAACCTAGCAGGGTATTAAGCATTTGTTTAAGTTCTGGGCTGAGATTAGTTCCTTTGTGAAAAAGAGATAAAACAAGTGAATGTGGACGGTTGAAGTGTTAATGATTCACAGTTCAGTGCAGCATAAGAGTGATTCTCCCTTACTCACTTGAAAGTTTCTTTTGTGCAAGTGTATATATGTGTAATGGAACATGAGTGGATTTTAATACTCAGAAAAACAGAGATTATTAGGTTTTTTACTGATGAAAGTAGAGATGTTAAGCCTTCTAAGTATTGTAGAGACTTTCTTAAACATATTTGTTATAACCGCTACTGTAATTCATGAGTAAGGACTACTGGGTGCATAAATGTTTTGTAAGGTGGAACATCAGGGGTGAGAATAAGACTTAGTTTTATTTTCATGTGACATTAATTCAGAATTTAAACTGTATCTAGCGATACGTGGAAGCGTAGTGTTCTGCACCAACAGGGCAAGTTACGCTGAACTTCTTAGGAGATTTTGTCTACATAATTTATCACAATTGTAATTTCTAAACATGGGAAGTAAGGTTTAGTGCATAGACAGCACCAAAAAAGATATCAGCATGGGCCCTGCCAGGAATTTACTGTCCTAACAGGCAGTACAATACATATTATATGTATCTCCTTCGGCAAGTCTCTTTCCCATTCGCTTCCTCCTTCAGATTTCTTTTTTCTTTGTGCTTCTATGTCCTTTTAATCACAAATGGGAAGGAAGCTCCTTGCTCAAGGAAGTCTTTACAGATGGGATGTTTACTTCAGCCAGTTAGATGATAGAGCTAGTGTGCCACTTCCCAGTTAAAGTTGTTTGAAAGACATGTCATGCAAGTATAAATACAAAAGAACAGGAAACATATATTTAGCAAAACGTGAAACTTACCTGTGCCTTTCACCTTTCAAAAATCATCCATCAATTTATGTTTAAGTCCTATGGTTTAGTTACAAATTGGTGTCTAGAGTGTTATAACAATGACCATGCGATTTGTTGGCGCACTGCCCACAGGCACATGTGGCTCGGTATGCACAATGGCTCTGTGTCATTAAATGTCCTTTCATACTATCGAATTAAGTAGAAAAACAAGATTGGCATACTGAAAATAAATTTACTCTTTCTGACAGCAATGACTTAGATCTTTTTTACTTTTTTTGGTGGTTTTTTTTTTTTAATTGGAAAAGTCACTTTTGCTTCAAGTATTGTGAAAGCAGTAGACAGGTAAAATCACATTAACATGATGTCATTTGATAATTGATAATAAATTACTCCATGTTGGTTTTTAACATTGCAAGAGATGAAGTTTGTATGACATGATACAAAGGAGCAAGTTTTTCTCCAAGTACACGAAGCAGGGTGATAACTGGAATGGAAAAAACACATTGATGGATGTTCAGCACTCTTGCGAAATGCAGTGTTCTGGCTGATTCTGCAGGTAAGGGTTTACTGACATTCAGCGGGGCCTGATAGCACAGGCAGATCTGTGGGAGGCACAGAGGTATATATGTATACACACACATATATAATGTCAGCCTGCAGGCTTTGGGGGTGTTATGTATCAGTGGCCTAATTCACAGTCCAATAAAGTTGGTGCTCATCTCCCCTGCGTGACCCATGAATTAGGTGTTGGACGCATGGCTCCCTGGGGAACCATAATAGGCGCTGTAAATAATGGGGAGCAAATGGTATTTATGCCACATGTGAGGCCCCGCTCTTGCAGAGCAGGCAACACTGGCTTCCTTAGGGTGGTTTGTCTATGGATTAATTGTGACGGTCATTTTAAACACCATAAATAGTAGAGCTGCACAAAACACAGAAAAATGTACCAGTCCAGGCCTTTCCAGGAGTTTATCATCTAAACAGACACCACAGTATGCACTGGAAGGCTCTGGGGAAGGCTCTTAAAGCATCCATCTGCCACGTAGTCTTTAGTTATCCAGAGGTGGGGCTATAGTTTGGCATGGCACAGCAATAAACGTCAGTTCTATTGCCTTCAAAGTGATGAGGAGTTTAAGCTTCTGATTCAGACCCTCTCTAGGCAAATTTAACTTTGCCTTCCTTTAGAAAGAGTGACTTCGGAGTAGATCTTTCAGATCTATCTGCTGCATAAGAAATACAAATAAAGAGGCAACTGAATATTTCAGAACCACTCCAGTTTCCTAAAATGTCTCTGCTTTTATTTATGCAGCAATTAACTGTTAAAAATGAAATGTGAAGCAACATACTTCATTTTTTGTCTGAAATTGTATAGAGGAATATACAAGGAGTTAGCAGATTTTTCTAAGCAGTAAATGGTGAAAGAGAAAATTGTTGATATGTTTAACAGTGGTTTACTCCTAGATCTACCTAGTCCATTCCTATAAGTGTCTTTAATTTTACTGCAAAAGAGAATGATTACATATAGTTGATTTTCCCACCTCATGTACAGTTGGACTACCTGTCTCTATAACTGCAGAAAAAATGCGTTTCAAGGTCCATACATATATAAACTGTGATTTATTTGTGTGTGTAGCATTGACTGTATGGCATGCTAGGCTCTAACATTTGGCCTGAAATTACAGAGTTATACAATTTCACTTTTTCTCAAATGCAGCATAGATTTTACTTGACACTTATGCCTTTACATGATCCATACTTCTTATTTTATGAGAGAATAAACCTAACAATGACAGACACCGTTTCTCAGAATGCCATTCCTCAGAAGGGCCAAAATCATCGGGCTTTGATTTGAATGTCAAAGCCTGTGGTTGGTACAATGTTTCAGTAGAAATTTCAGCTTATCCAAGCAAAAGTTTAAAACTTCTGTAATAACTGTATAATTCACATTCTTCCCCCACATAACAATCCTTTAGTTATGTGTAGGTTCAATCCTGGACTCCTCTATACCCCTGTGAGAACAGATTATGCCCTTACGTTATAAGGCTACAGGGGATGAGGTGATATTCCATCTGACAGGGTTCAGTGGGTTTCCCTGCTGACAGAGAAAATGATGATTTTAAGGCACCAGTCTCATCCATCATTACAAGAGTGGCTCATAGATATGACAAGAAATCTTATGGAAAATAATCTGTGGTCTAGACAATAAACTAATCAGTTTTGATGAAATCCATAAACCTTTTATATACTATATTGAAGAGCAGACCAAAGCTTTCTGGTTATGGATATGTTTTGCCTTTTAAAAATATACAGAGCTTTTCTCTTCAAAAGTGGAGAAGTAACCTTTCCCGTGTTATCAAAATAATTAAGTTCATGTTGCTGAGGTAATATTCATTTGTATAATTTCTTATCATGCACACGGTTTCCATAGCTAATCTTTGCTTGTTCGTGATAATATCCTAAAGGGAAATGTCTTGCTAGGCATTGAACATGGCTGTGAGGAAAGAGAGAACAGGAGGAGGTACGAATTGGGGCTATGGACAGGGTTTTCATACGTGCTGTAGCGTAGTAATCCTCGGTGCCTTTCTCTGTGTGGTTGGACTAGGGAAAATTCAGTCCAACGGTGCAAGCCAGGGACATGACCAGCAAAACTAGACCTGTACAGACTCATGAGTCTAACACCATGTAGTAATTACAACAACTGAAAGGTTTTTAAATGGGCAGCAGAGCTGCTCAGCAGACACTCCAAGATGAATGATTAACTGCAGAATTTATTTCCCTTCAGGTTTCTTCTGAATTTTCTGCACAAAGCTCATTTATTCAGGCTTTGTGGAAAAAGGGCTGTGCTTGTCCCTTTACTGATAACTATTTGAACAGTGAAAGCATAGCTGTGTTTGGATATTGCCATGTGTATTCTTACTTATTCGTATGGCTTTACCACTTCAGCAGCGATGGGTAACTTACTCTGTCCACTTATCAGCCAAGGGGCTGGTTAAACACAAAAGGAAATGTTAGGTGCATGAGGGGAATGCTGATAAATATCTTTGAGATCTTCTTAGTGCAATCATGGAATACTGTAGCATATGTAGTATTAATTATATAATTAA